CGATCCGGAGCCAGACAAAGCACATCCGCCCGCGGCGGCCGAGCTAGCCAATCGTCGCCTCTCCTCCCTCGGGGCCCCGCCTTCGGGGCGTGCCTGTCTCCTGGGGCCGCTACGCTGGCTGCGGGTCTGTTGTTCCTCCGCTGTGGGCATGGCTGAGAAAGGTATTGTGCCTTCTCCCTGGGACCGGGCTGCGTGTCAGCCCCAGGGCGTCTGTGGAGCCGGTAGAGGAGCCCTCCCCGGCTGCGGCCAGGGAGCGCGGCCTCCCTGTGGTGCGGAGTAGAGGGCTTTCTGTGGAGAGGGGGCGGGGGAGGTGGCTTTCGGTGGTGGGGACGAGAGGGGAGGGGGCAAGAGTACGAGGAGGGAGGGGATGGGGGGGAGATGGGAGGGAGGGGGAGTAGATGGCTTTTTGTGGTAGGGTGGGGATGAGAGGAGGGGGAGGGGCGGGATGGATGGCTTTCTGTGGTAGGGCGGGGAGGGAGGAGGGGGCGAAGGGGGAGTGGTGGGGGCGGGGAGGGTGCGGAGGAGTTGGGGGTGAGGGAGATGGGGTTCCCGGAGGAGATGGGGCGGGAAACTGGGCGGGGGCAGGGGGAAGAGTTAGATGGGAGAGGAGATGGGGCTGGGGGAGGCTTCTACCCTGGATAAACAAACGGGCGTGGGAGCTGCTTTCTAAGGCCTCAATTCCTGGTTCTAGGCTCAAAAAGCTTTTAAGATTTAAGATGCTTACATTATTCTGACTGTATCGCTTTTATTTACGAAATTATAACAAAATTTAAAAAAATATCTTGGTTAGTTTCTCTCCTCCCTGAAGTGCAAATTTTTGGAGATACATTGCAGGAGAGCAATGAGAGTCAGTGACACACTGGCAGGTTAATTTGTCGTGCAAAAACAAAACCTTGTTTCTCCACATGCGGAGAGGTAAAGGAAAAGCTACGAAAAGGATTAGAATACATTACAGCTACGTATAATTGAAAGAAACTGCTGGCGTTTTGGTGTTTTTGTACAATAAGGAAAATTTTGTTGATAAAAATTAAGGCCAGTGTTGAGATAGTAATTTAATCACCATTAATACTTTTTCTTTTTTAGAAGGAAATCAGGAGTTTGCTTCCAAGATGGAGAACCCACCAGATTCCGCATCCACCAAGATGGAGAAC